ACGGGAAGGCAATTAAACAGTGGTGGCAAGGCGCCTTATGACAGGGTCAGACATCGAAAGTGACTAGACTTGAAGATTTGGATACTATAACACTTACTTTGGAGACGCAATCACGAGAATTTACGACTCTCTGGTGCATACGTAGTGACGGAAGTGATCCATTCAGGAAGAAAAATATGTAGCACTTATGATCCCGATGCGTTTCTTTTCGTGACGGTCCTAAAATTGTCTCAGTAAATGTCTTGGAATCATATCGAATTGATTCCGGGCGATAAAAATTGTTTTGACTATTTATGAGTTGTAAGAGAGCTACATAAGAAGCTCTGTGGCTGTAGGGGTCGGATTGACTAAAAAGGCTGAAGGAAAGATCAACCATGAGGGAAAGGCCATATAAGTCCTTTCCGATTTAATGAAAATTAGAATTAAAAGAAAACGCGCTCATGAACGTCTTTCAAAATTTCAGTTTTATCTTCCATTTTTGTTTCGTCTTTCCGATTTCCCCTGGTGAAGCAATAATTCATGTGTAAGGACGGTAACCGCGGTTAAATCACAAATGATTTCTCCGAAAAACGTTCAAGAAATGTGCTCACTTTCCGATCCCCTTAAGAAAAAAGCAAGCAAAATCGTGGTTTTGTACGTGCAAGCTGCCGCCGACTGGACGGTCTTTTTGTGGGGTGGTACGCGAAAAGGCCCGCCTTGCTCCTGACAAGGAAATCGTCGATTCGGCTGTCCGTCACAACGATGGGCGCGCCAGAATACACTCAGCGTAGCACAATACATACCCCAACAGTCAGTCCTCTGCCACACATACAAAGGAAATGGCCAAAACGATGTCAAACCCGTGGATTCTGCCCGCCGTGAAGGCGGCCCTGGGCGGTAAAGACACTGGAGGGCTAACTCGTGCGAGCAGCAGCATGTCGGGAGGGTGTCAGGACCTTCGACCAAAGCTAGTCCAGGTGATACGCGGCTCCAGCAGGCATAAATACTTGGAGGTGAGCGATAAAGAAAGCAGATTGGCAGCCTTCATAACGCCTGATGCGCACCTAGCATTTAAAAAGGCCATGCCGCAGATTTCCCTCGCTGGTCTCGGCACCTGCATTATCAAGCTTGAACGATGGCTTGTTTCACACCAGCCATTGGCATTTGACTCGGCAACGGGCCCTTGCCTTGCGCACGAGTTGCATGGAGAGGACGTATTTTCCTTCGCGCCACTGTGTCTCCAGGTGTCCCAGTTTTCGGTGGTAGCGACGGAACGAGGGCAGTCCACGTACGGTGCCCCGCACAGCGTCAACGACCGACCTGAGATAAAGAGCCTGTACCGAGAGCTGGACACGAATGCCCTGATGATGCTCTTGGCGCGGCATCAAGGTCTACCCCGGCTTCCTGACAGTAGTGGAAAGGATGTTCTGCCGGAGCCCATCGGGAATAAGCGGCCCGTCACCATGGAGGAGGTCGAATATATGCTCCGTTGCGAGGAGGAAGAAAGGGAGGAGCGAATCGCTGGTGCCAGTGGGATCACTGCGGAGGGGGCCAAGGCCATGGGAGGGCCAGCTAGCCATGTCGCCGGAACCGTCCGCGGAGAGGAGCATCGACCCCAGCAGGAGGGGCAATGGCCCAGGTGTCCGACCCCGCAGGGGGGGTCGCGATCTTCCCGGCCTCAACGCGCACAGGAAGATGACCATCTAGCGCCGACGTCGTTGCGCCACGCTCTTGAGTCCAGCGCAGGTCAAGCGCGGCTTCGTGGCCGTGACGGAGAAGGTGTAGGGGGGAAGGCGATGGCTGGAGGCCCCTCGCGCGGAGTGGAAGAGGTCCGGTCTCCCCGAAAAGGAGACGAGAATGTCCTCCACGAAGAACAAATAGCGAAAGGAGGAGGAAATGGAGGGATTTCGCAGGGCGAGGGAGAGATGGCGTCTCAATTTGGAGCCTCGCCGCTCCGAAATTTCGAGACTCAAGACATGGAGGAGGAGGAGGAGGAGGAGGAAGAAGAACCTTTACCCCCGCTTGTCGAAGCTATCCGAGTGAGCCCAACTCGCTCAACGCGAAGGAGTACGGCTGAATATACCCCTACCTCCCGTAAACGTGCGCGTGAGGAGCATCCGGGGAAGGGAGAGGGCCAGGGCGTCGAGGCCCCAACGGCTCTTCAGAAGGGAGAAGAGAGGCGAGCCTCGCGGTCCAATATGGATGCTGGGCAAGGGCTGTCACAGTCAGAGGAGCCGCCCGGCGCAGGCGGGACGGGGAAGGAGGGAGGCGAGGCTTCCCCCTGGCGCGCGGGGAGGGACAAGACGGAGGGGCACAGGGGAGCCATTCAGGCGGGAACTCCGAGCGAGACAAACGACCTGCGAGCCTTGGGTGCGCCCCCTCCGCCACGGATCTATCCTTCATGCCATCTCGGCGCAGAGACTGTGGCGATAGAATTGCAGACACAAATCTTCAGCCAAACGCAAGTGGAGTTCACGCAGGTGGAGGTCCCGGAGGAGGGTGAGGGCAGGGACATTAACGCGGAGGACGTGCTTCGCCGGTACTCGCCACCCGTTTCTCCCGATGCCTCCGACAGGGAACGACGAGCAGCATCCGGCTCCCTGGCTGTCGAAGGGAGGTTGTCCCTCTCGTCTCCGCGAGCGCCCCCGGCCTCCACTGGGTCCTATGCGTCTGGCAGGGAAGCGGGGGCCAAGTCCGACAGGAGGGAGGAACAGGGCAACCTGCTGGCCGCGGCCAGGCCCTTCGGCGGCCGTTCGACGGTGTGGGCCTCTTGGGTTTCCTGAAAGCAGGGGATCCGCCCGCGGCCGGCAAGTCGCGCCGCACGCTTCAGGGGGCGCGGGCGAGCCTCGGCGGTGGAGATGCCGGCAAAAGGTGAGGGATAAGAACCGCAGGGCTGTGCGTGTCTGGTAATGAGCAGCTGCCGAAATTGTAACCTCGATCCAGATGGCTGTGTCGCAGCTGCCTGAGGGCTGAAGTTGGGTGGTTCAAAGAAGAGGACTCATACGGACCTTTTTTAAAAAAATCGATAACGAAGGAGTCTTCGAACCTACAACAAGACAAACGAATAAACAACAATACTTAATGAAGAAACAAGAACTGATCCCCACCGAAACCGTTGATTGCTTAATCTGCCCCCATCGGATGGACTGGACAGGCGCCCGCCGCGGCTTCACTCACTAACGAATGCGTGACGAGCCATGACAGACCAGACGTCTCTTGCCTTTCACTTGCCTGTCACATCTTCCCTTCACACTTCCCCTTCCTATAACCACATCTTCCTCCGCGATCCCGCAGGATGCGATGAAAAAACTGCTGCTTTACAAGGAAAAGTGCTGTCAGAGTTCCGCAAGGCGCGGCAATAAGCGTCTAGCTCCTGCTGCTCGCACACGCGTCCTGCAAACTTAGCGCCCGCCCGGGCGCTTTCTCTCAGGTGGTTCGCGAACTCGGCGGTCCTCCTTGCTGCGCGAGCGGACCAGACGTTGATGCACAGCCGCCTCCACGGAGTAGTACTGCTTGATGTACAGCTTGGGCAATTGGTAGTTCTCGAACACACGCGCCTCTTTAATGTCACGAGCAGAGGATTGGTCTACAATGGAACGCACTACCATGCGTTTGATGGCCTTGTCCTTCGGGACCGCCTTCCCTGTGCTCGCACATCTGCAATGTGGACATAGAAAGGCGCAAAGCGGTTGAGCAATCCGAAGGCGTTTTCAGAGGATAACTGGTAGAATGTGGAAGGCAAGCTATACCACAACAGTCAGGTTGATCTTATCTCTCATTCAGACTGGAGGACTGCCAAACCACACCAAAACTGCTTGTCCGAGGCATCCGTTTCAAGCAGGGGAGGCCCGGGTCATAGCGGTAAAGCAAGTTTCGCGAGGCACTGTATCCCTCAAGGCCATGCAAACAGACTCACCGTACACGCTTCACGTGGCCACGACCCTTCTTGTTACGCCCGTGGTTGCGGCGCTTGACCGTCATAATATCTGATAGAGAAGGGAACCAGGCAGAGAACCGAGTTTGTGGTATGGACATGAAAACCAGGTATGGAAACTACATCAAGAAAGCTGGCCGATAAACATGTCCTGCGCGAAGTTACTTCGACTATCAAAAAATGCCCTCCCCCGGGACGAAGAAAACGGGGCACGGGAATAATGGGGGGGCGGGAGGAATTGCGTGCGGATGGTTGAGGGGCTTACAGACCACACTGCCCTTATCTTGACCTCAAAGATACATCAGCTACGCCTTCCCCTACGCAGTGGGCTCATCTACCCATTCGCAAACTCATTCATGACGTGACCAGGGAGGCGTAATCCAACAGTGAAAGCAAATGAAAGGTCAGGCGCATGGGACGTCGCGGAGCCGTTCATCGGCCTCGGCGAGGAATGACGACATGCACCAGGTCGCAACCTCCCCCTTTTTTCCCTGATCCTATTAAGCAATTTGTTCAATTCTTACTTTTGAGGAAGTGTATGGGGAAACCGACTTTTGCATCCCGTATGTCAATGGGTTATATTGAGACTTATTTTGTGGTGATTCTATGAAGCTTCAAATTTGGCATCCTTGCTCGTAACCTTTTCTCATTTACCTAGTTGTTTAAAAGACGCATCGGCACGTTTAACAAACAATTTTGGCTTTGACCTCCTCTTCATCATTTTTTCATCCGAATTCAAATTGATCGAGAAAGGCATAATAAGCTTGAATGCGCTTGCCGCTATAATGGGAACTGACAGCCTTCGCCGCTTTACACCACAATATTTGATATGCGTTCGGCGTAGGACATTTTGCTATTTCTCACGATCCAAGGCCTCTGACCGAATATTCATTTGGACTTGTAGAGTGCTGGTCAAAAAGGACATCTTTGTAGCTGGTGTGGTGCGAATTCTTTCACAGCGTCTGTTTAAGATGAAATTATATTTCATCGACAGAAGAAACAAGCCAAAAAAAGGCTACTATTGTTCCGCTATGATGCCACTCCCGCGACATTACCACTTACTTGTTTTTTACAATTTATAATATCTCTCCACACATGACTCCTCCACACCATTTCCCTGGAAAGGATTCGAGGGTACAATCCTAAAGAAATCTCTTTCTTTCACATATTCCGTGTCTTTCAACTAATTTCTAGGATAAAGGAAACCACTTCCCTCTTAATTTCCTGAGTCACCCCTCGGCATGTGCACAAGCAATCTACAACTCCCGTACTCTGACCCTCCATCTTGCGCGTTCTAGTCTGTCAATACAAACAAAACGTAACATCCAACTCGTGGTCGCATTGACAAGCTTAATCCTAAACACCAACCCTTGGCAGCCCTCATTTGGCACCAGGACCCAGCACAAGGCGTATTGCGGCACTCAGACCATCTTTGTTGAGAATGTCGAGCAAATGCGACGACTGAGACGACCTCCTTGGCGCGACCAACAAGGCAAAAACGGCCGTAAAGCCCTGCAGCGCGCATGACCCAGACTGACTATTGCGTAGAATCTGCGAGCCCCCCGCCCCCAAACCCTTTCCATTTTTAACAACCATACCAGCATCTGTTCCCGCTATTTCGTCGTCCTCCTCCTCCTCATCCACGTATGTAGCTTGCGGGCCAATCTCACCCATTGCGTACATCCCCCCCACTTGCCTTCCTGGGAATTCCGCCGTGAACGCGGAGGCATCCACGTGCGTGCTCCTCGCATCCAGAAAGCGGCGGGGGCCTCGACCGTTGCAAGAGAAGAGGAGGGCCCCGAGGACGTCTTGCCCGTTGCGCCGAAGCTCTTCCGCCACCGCCCGCATTTTCTTCTGGACGTGGGCCTGGGCGCTCTGCGTCTTCAAATCGAAGAATTTGACAGTCAGCCGCGCGTTGGGCGGTGGTCCACCCTGCAGTTTGTTCACGAAAGACAAAAGGAGGACAGGGGCGCCCTCGTCCACTGCGAAAACGAACGAGAGCAGTTCGTAGGGGGGGGGGCGGGACTTAAACGCCGACCCTGGTACCCCTGAGTCGTGCCCCGCCCCCCCTCCATCGACTCCACCATTCACTGGCACCGCGGAATCCTCGATTTGTAATCCTACGTAGATATCTCCGTTGCGCTGAGCGTGCTCAAAGGCCACCAAGGGATTGACCACCACGTCGGGGGCGGAGTCCAAGCGCGCGTCACCGGACGCTGGACGTGAAAGGCTCTTCACCACGACAGCTTCTCCCTCGTACTCCCAGCTGGAGACGGTGAAGGACGGCGAGCATGGCACAACTCCTCGTGAAACGACGGCTTGCAGGGGCACGTTGCCCCAGAGAGCCATGCCCACGATACCGTCCTCAGCGTTCCCTCCCTCCCCTCCCGGCCTTCGCAAGGCGCCGTCCTTCCAGCAAAAGAGATTTCGCGCAAAGATGCCCCCAACAATGGCTGCGGAGGGAGATCCCTCTTGAAGAGCTTTCAAAAGGAGCTCGACGTTGTCAGCGCGCTGTCCGGGCAAAACCACCATCACTTTGTACTCAATCGAAGGACTCAACCCCAGAATATCCTCACGTAGCCAGCGTCGCCCCTCCCGCTCGCAGGGGGCGACAGTTACAGCTTCAAGATCACTATTCTGAACTGTAAATGTCTGAGCACACGCTTCAGGTAGGGAAAGAAGGTTCAAAATCGCATCTTGCGCGTAAGTGTTTCCTTGTACAATTCTCTTGTCTGCTCCTGTAAAAGGATATTGACTGTCGCCGCCGATAACTTGGCAGCGCGGCGGCAAGTGAGACAGCATTTGGGCAACTTCTGTAGGTGAAGAACGCATCTGATTGAAAAGAAAACCGACGGAAGGAGTTGCTCTACAAAGACGCTTAGCTTGAGCAGGGAGCGCCGGCATCGGTTCAACTAGAGCAGTGAAGGACGGATTGGCTTGCTCATACTCGGCAACTAACACAGTCCACAGCCTCGACGTTGCTCGAAGCTGACACAAAGTCTCAAGGTCAGAAAATGACACAATTTCGAGCAAGACTTCGGTTGAAACAGGAGTGAAGAAGGACGGCAAAGGGTCCGACGAGAATGTTGACGTGGCAGGCATCTTACACTCAAACAACCGCTCTGTCTGTGTTATTTGGTCATCATTGGGAATTGAGCCGGAATTAGCATTCAAAAATCAGCAGTGATAAAAACAAAGACCTAGTCACGCCAAACTGCGCTTCCAAGGATTACAGGTCACACGCAAGCAGTCTCGGATGCACAGGGGGCAGGAGGTTAGCGTCTCCGGGTCGCTTTTCCGTTGCACCACTTCCACCGCGCCAGGAACAGGGCTCGTCTTTGCTGCCCAGAGGATGTTGTGCATGACTCAGTGTAAGCCAGCACTGGTAATAAATTTAATGAAGACCTAACCAGAACAAGGCGATAAAAGTGTAAGATCGACGAAACTGTCGTGGCCAAACCCACCAAGGTGGACGTAGAGCGTTAGGGCCCGAGGAGATTTAGCATTTCGCCTTTCCCCATTGTCGGCAGCGTTCACCCAAATAATGTCACTTATAACCTTGACAAAGAACCATTATAATATGAAACGTAGTAACAAGCATGTCGAAAGACCTACTTCTTAAGACCTAGCAAAATAAAGAGACATAGCCAACTCGCCTTACGGACCGCACAGCCATGAGCAGAAATGTAAAGGCCTAAATTGCCCGCGCATCATTTTCAACGTGATTCATTTTCTTAAGCTGCCTTCACCTGGACTTGCTTTCAAATACCATTCAAGCGGACGTATTCCTGAGTTACGAAAAATAGCATCGTTTCCACTCGTATCTCGCTCACGTCCACTGTGAAGAGTAAAGAAGCAATGCGCGTTTGATGATGTTCAACTGTTTATTTTATAGCAACGTTCCTTTTTTCTTGTTCTACCCTCCTTGTACGCCTCCTTACAATGTCGCCTTTATCTGGGGGGCTGTACGGTGTATGGGCCCTGCAGTAATTGCAAATTATAGCAACAAATGATCATCCTTCTCAACCTAAATGTCACAAATCCTTAAATAGGCTTATTTAATTATGAGAAGGCACTTTTTTGGGTTTTTTGCTTAAAATTTGACCTGAACTGAAGATGTTATGATTGAGGTTGCCCAAGCATAACCTAAGCCTCTAGGCCTGCTATTCATAAGAAGGGGAAAGGTGTTGATTCGAAATGGAACAAGAAGTATTACATAGATATTTTTCACGGAAGTGCCCAGCTTGCCTGTTGGAATTATGAATTGACTTGCGTGAAAGAGATTGCAGGGATACACTTTCCCACATTTTTTCGGCAGCAAGGGCCTGGTCGCTGGCGAAGCCGTTAAACCTGGCCGGAACCAGGACCCTCCAGGCCGACTGATTGTCTCTGTTGCCCAACATTTCTGCCTACAACACAACAATTACAGTACAATGCTTTTCTATTAGATCAAGACACAAAATGGTGGTGTTCCCGGCGACATATGGAGCAGAAGGGGCAAACCAGTAAGACGACAAGTTGTACAGGGAGCGCATCTAACATGCGATTGCCATCATCAGGGATTTCGGTTAGAACCAATAGACGCGGTCACAAAGATCTTCCTCTGTATCTTATATGTATAGCTATCGTTCTACCTTGGGCTTCATGTTTTGCTCCAGCGTTGCCATGGTCAAGTTCGTGGACTTTGGGCTGTCCGAAGATGGCAAAAGCACCCTTTCCCTATCCGATGGCGGGAACTTTCTCCCGGAAAAGATGTTTTGGAAAAGTGTTTGATGTTCCACGACCACAACTGGCGCAGTCTTTCTCAAATACATCTGAGGCCGCTTCCTCGCGGTCGTCCTCTTCGGGATGGTTGGACGCCTGGTCCCTTTTGCTGAAAGAGATTCGTCCTCCTATCCCCAGTGGTGCTCCCAAGAGCTTCGTCGAACTCGTGCGGACGGATCGAAAGGGGCGAAAGCGCACCTTGAGCCCTGCAGTCAAAGATGCAGAGATGAGAGAACTGGTGGGACGGTTATGGCGGTCCTTACTCCCGGGGCTAGGGTACTTGTCGCGTGATGAAGTCGGCAAGGTCAAGCTGGCGCTCGAGGTAAGCGCACTGGCTCACCTCGGTCAGAACCGAAAATCGGGAGCACCCTTCATCGAGCACCCCGTGGAGGTAGCGCGAATTCTGGCGGGACTGAGCATGGATGTGGACACGATATGCGCGGGGCTCTTGCACGATACGGTGGAAGACACCCATTTGCGATTGGAGGAAATTGGGGAGATTTTCGGGGAAGGAGTTCAGCAGATTGTGGAGGGCGAGACGAAAGTGTCAAAACTTGCGAAGCTAGGTTCGTCCCCTGTGGATTACGAAGAGACGCAAGCCGAAAACCTCCGTTCGCTCTTCCTTGCCATGACGAATGACTACCGGGTCATCTTCGTCAAGCTGGCCGACCGACTTCACAACATGCGCACGTTGGAGTTCATGTCTCCCGCGAAGCAGATGAAGATTTCGCGCGAGACGCTTGACATTTACGCTCCTTTGGCGGATCGTTTGGGCGTGCGGGGCCTGAAGAGCGAGCTGGAGGACATCGCCTTCCGCTACGTGTATCCACAGGAATCCGCCGAGATCAGCGCCATGCTCGCCAACCGCTCCGAGGGGTACGAGGACGTTTTGGCCTCGACTCACATTGCCCTCCACCAGATGTTGGAACGCAAGCTCCTGTCGGAGCAGCCGAAGCCCCTGAACTTGAGCGTGACGGGCCGCCTGAAGGACAGGTACTCGATCTGGCGCAAGATGGACCGCAAGGCGCAGGAGACGAGGCAACCGGTCAGCCTGGACGACATCAAGGACGTGGTGGCCATGCGGATTGTCATCAGTCTGGGGCGGCTGCCGGACGAGCCCGAGAGCGAATGGAAGGGCAGGGGCATCTACCTGTGCTTCCGGGTGATGTACCTGGTGCAACGCCACCTCTCTGCGCCCGGCTATGAGAGCACGGTGGAAGACTACATCTCCATACCCAAGATGAACGGGTACCAGAGCTTGCATGCCACCATAATGAGGAATGGACAGGTGGTGGAGGTCCAGATACGGACAGATTGGTGCGTGGACCGTGGGAAGAGACGGGCAAGGCCATACGGTGCCTGGGAGCTGGCCGTAGGCGGGGGGCACTAAGCTCCTTTTGTCCGGGAGTATTACGAGCCAATCGACTCCCTCGTCTAATGCAAACCTTGTCACGCTCACCTCCCTGCCCCTTTGGTTTCCGAACCTCACAAACAGGATGCACGCCGTGGCAGAGATGGGCCTGGCGGCCCATTGGCTCTACAAAGACGAGCAACGCCGAATCAGCGGCCTGAGCACTGCGGGCAGTAACAGCCCTTCGCGCGGCCCAGGAAAAAGTGTAAGTCACTACCGGACCGCATGGTTGACCTGTCTGAAGGACTGGCAGTTGGACGTGAATGCCCGCGATTTTGTGGAGGCTGTCAGGGCCGAGATTTTGGGTCGCCGGGTCTCCTTCTTTCTCAAGAACGGGCGCATCCACGATTTGCCTCGGGGGGCCACCTTGCTCGATGCGGGCTTCAAGCTTCACAAGCAAATAGGCCTGCACCTGCGTCTGGCCGAGGTGAACGGCTTTCCCCTGGCTTCCCTTGACTACGTTGTTCAGAACGGCGACGTCCTTTATGTGGTGGCCACGCGCAACGCCAAGCCGTCCCCGTCCTGGGTCCGTGAGGCGCACTGTCGAACCACGCGGGGAAAGATACGGACCTACTTCCGAAGCGTGGAACCGGGGGTGGCCGAGGAGGAGGGCCGGCGCCTGGTGGCGGCGGTGGTAATGCAGAATGCAGCTTTTCTCCAGGAAAAATTGGGCGCCGTTCCTACGCCAGAGGATCTAATGCGATCGGTGAAAGCCCACACGGGCTATGCATCGCTGCAGGAAATGTACT